TGCAATTTAAAATGTACAATTGAATAATTGATTTAGAATTACAATATTAAGTAATCTTATAAAGTTGATGTCAATATTAGAACATTTAAAAAACTCAGTTCACCACATTTATAACTTTAATGTATTAGATTTAAAAATAATTATTTAATATTTGAGAAGGTTTTGTTTGTTAATGTAGATGGTTGAAGTACTTAAAAAAGAAATCAAACATCATATATTTACAAATGCAGTTTACATTGTTTGAAGGTATTTAATTAAGTTTGGAAACTGAGCCAAATATTATTCAGGACTCTTAAAAGTCATTGCTAAAAACTGACAAAATGATAAATAAAATACTAACACTTGTAAGCTGAACTTAAAAGTCTAAGAAAGGAATAGATTTTTAAATCCATAACTTTAAAATTTGACTATTAATTATTTAAACTAACAATATACCTCTGAATAGACTTTTCTGCATACAAAAACCAAGCTCGAGGATACCAAAAGACTCACATCATTGGGTGTGGCCATTTTTTTAAAAGTGGCTATAAATTCTTTGATACTTCTCTCATTGAGAGGTGGGGTTTATGTCCCTGCCTCCTTGAATCTGACCAGACTTGTAACAAAGTATGACTGCAGGCTACATGAACTGTTGTTGTAGATAGATAATCCCAACTGAATACAGCCTGCAGCTCATCACAGCCTAGGCACCAGACATAGGCAAGAAGGAGCCTCCAGATGATTCTAGACTCCTACCATTTGAGACACCCCAGCAATCAGAGATTTCCCAGTTGAGATTCCAGACATGATGGAGCAGAGACAACCTATCCCTGCTTGCCTTATCAGAATTTCTAAGTCACAGAATCCTTAAGCATAATAAAATGATTGTATTTTTACAACACTAAGTTTCGAGGGGAGCCCTGATGGCACAGTGGTTAAGTTTTAGGCTGCTAACTAAAAGGCAGGCAGTTTGAATCCACCAGCCACTCCTTGGAAACTGTGTGGGGCTGTTCTACTCCTGTCCTATTGGGTTGCTATGAGTTGGAATTGACTCAAAGGTAATGGTTTTCAAGTATGGGGATGGTTTGGTATACAGCAACAGATAACCAGATTACAACTTTAACAATGGGTTCTGTGTATTGGTTCAAGATTATCTGGATTTTGTTTTCTGAGCTGATTACATTTAAAGGTACTAATGATCCTATTGCCAGTGGCAAAAAAGACACTCGTAGTCCATGACATGATCAAAGACTAGATGAATTGTGGAATGACATCAAGGACATAATACATAAAGAAAGCAAAATTTCATTTAAAAGACAGGAAAGAAACAAATAGAAAGAGAACAGTAAAAGAAGTTGTTAGGCATCAGAAGAACGGAAATTATAAAGATTAGAAGAGAAATAAATGAAATAGAGAACAGCAAAACAACAGAAAGAACCCACAAGACCAAAAGTTGGTTCTTTGAAAAGATTAACAAAATCAACAAACCACTTGCCAAACTGACAAAAGAAAAACAGAAGAAGAAGCAAATAACACACATAAGAAATGAGATGTGGGCTACAACAGACCCAACAGAAATAAAAAGTATCACAACAGAATACTATGAAAAATTGTACTCAACAAATTTGAGAACCTAGAGGACAAATTTCTAGAAACACACTACCTATCTAAACTAACACAAACTGAGACAGAAAATCTGAACAGACCCATAACAAGAGAAGAGATTGAAGAGGTAATTAAAAAAAACTCCCAACAAAAAAAGCCGGACCTGTTCTACTTCACTGGAAAATTCTACCAAACATTCAGAGAAGAGCCCACATCAGTACCAATCAAACTATTTCAGAGCACAGAAAAGGAAGGAATATTTCCAAATTCATTCAACGAAGCCAGCATAACCTTGATACCAAAGCCAGGCAAAGGCACCACCAAAAAAAAAAAAAATTACAGACCAATTTCTCTCATGAATATAGATGCAAAGATTCTCAACAAAATACTAGCCAATAGAATTCAGCATCATATCAAAAAATAATACACCATGACCAAGTGGGATTAATATCAGGTATGCAAGGATAGTTCAACATTAGAAAATCAGTCAACATACTCCACATATATATAAAACAAAAGAATCACATGATCATCTCAACTGATGCAGAAAAGGCATTTGACAAAGTCCGACACCCATTCCTGATAAAAACCCTCAGCAAAATAGGAATAGAAGGAAAATTCTTCAACATAATAAAGGGCACCTATACAAAACCAGCAGCCAACATAATTTTGAACAGAGAAAGACTGAAAGCATTCTCCCTAAGAACAGGAACAAGACAAGGATGCCCTTTATCACCACTCCTATTTAACACTGTGCTGGGCATCCTAGCAAGGGCACTAAGAAAAAGAAATAAAGATCATCTAAATTGGAAAGGCAGAACTAAAACTATTCCTATTTGCAGATGATATGATCCTATACATAGAGAACCTCAGAGATTCCAGAAGAAAACTACCGGAACTAATAGAAAGATTCAGCAGAGTAGCAGGATACAAGATCAACATACAAAATCAGTTGGATTCCTATACACCAACAAAGAGAACTACAAAAAGGAAATCAGGGAAGCAATACCATTTATAATAGCCCCTAAAAAAATAAAATACTTAGGAACAAATCCAACTAGGGACATAAAAGACCTATACAAAGAAAACTACAAAACACTACCGCAAGAAACCAAAAGAGACCTGCACGAACAGAAATACATAGCATGACCATTGATAGGAAGACTCAACATTGTGAAAATGTCAATTCTACCAAAAACAATCTATAGATATAATGCAATCCTGATCCAAATACCAACAGCATTCTTAAATGAGATGGAAGAAAAATCACTAACTTTATATGGAAAGGAAAGAGGCCCTGGATAAGTAAAGCATTACTGAAAACAGAAGAGCAAAGTAGGGCCTCACACTACCTGATCTCAAAACCTACTATATAGCCATGGTAGTCAAAACAGCCTGATACTGGTATAATGACAGACACATAGACCAATGGAACACAATAGAGAACTCAGACGTAAATCCGTCCACCTTCGGTCAGCTGATCTTTGACAAAGGCCCAAAGTCCATTAAATGGGGGAAAAGACAGTCTCTTTAACAAACGGTGCTGGCAAACTGGATGTCCATCTGTAAAAAAATGCAACAGGACCCACACCTTACACATACACAAAAACTAATTCAAAATGGATCAAAGACCTAGATATAAAACCTAAAATGACAAAGATTATGGAAGAAAAAATAGGGACAATGTTAAACCCGTCGCCGTCAAGTCAATTTCGACTCATAGCAACCTTATAGGACAGAGTAGAACTTCCCCATAGGGCTTCCAAAGAGCAGCTGATAGATTCGAACTGCCAACCTTTTGGTTAGTAGCCAAGCTCTTAACCACTGAGCAACCAGGGGCAAAGTTAAGGGTGAGGCCCTAATATATGGCACAAATAGGATACAAACCATAATAAACTAGATAATTGGGAGCTCCTAAAAATTAATTATGCTCTTCAAAAGAGTTTACCAAAAAAGTAAAAAGAAAACCTACAGACTGAGAAAAAAAAAATTGACTATGACATATCCAACCAGGGTCTAATGTCTTAAATCTGTAAGATACTGCAACACTTCTCCTGGGTGCTTGAATACAGGGGTTCAATTTAGAGATCTCCCCTGGGCTCTCGTTACCCTAGCTATGGCCCAGGAGGGGCGCAGTTTCAGTGCTTGCCATATGTGCTATTTTCTGTAGAAACACCTCTGGTTCCGCAAGACAGGGCAGTGTTTTGTTCTGTTGTACATAGGGTCACTATGAGTCAGATCCAACTCAACAGAACCTAACAACAATAACAACAGTCCATGGCATGCAGTGATAAAACAGAAGACAAGGCTTTGGATGACCAGGCAGTTGTGGCCAGAGAATATTTTAGTGAAAATAAAGGAGTACCTGGGGTTAGTTGCTTCTAAGTGCACTGGAGAGCTTAAGGAAAGAAAGTGATCAGTTCAGGACTATAAAGTCCCACCTTAAGGTCCAGGTAATGGATCAGAAAGCTTCTATGACTGACCTAAAATAAACTCTACCTTTTATAGTCACAGGGTTGAAAATTATGAAAACCAAACTCAAAATCTAATTCTATGGGTGGCTGAATTATAATGCAAATTGAATCCCAAATTTGTCTGGTCTCTTCTGTTAAAGTTAGGGCAATGACTGGGAAGGAGTAGGACCTTAAAAACTGCAATGAGGCTATATGGGCAGATTTCAATGAAGCTGGGGACTTTAAACCTTTAAATACTGCTGAGCCTTCTTTACCACTGGAATCAGCCCGTTAGAGGCTCCTGTTGCCAGTGGTAAAAAAAAGACATTCATAGTCCATGGCATGCAGTGACAAAACAGAAGGCAAGGCTTTGAGTGACTGAGCAGTTGTTGCCTTTGCCTGAAGAACCTGTAATAGCCTCCCCTGAAGGCCTTTTACAGAACTGCTGATCCTCCTCAGGACCTACCCCTACCACCTCTTATTGCTTCTAGATCTATACCAGACCCAAGTCCCAGCCATGGTAACAGCCTTCCATAGACTTCTCCACTAGCTCCTACAATTACTTAAGGTCTACCAAAAAACCTGTTGCCATCAAGTCAATTCTGACTCATAGCAACCCTACAGGACAGAGTAGAACTACCTCATAGGGTTTCCAAGGAGCAGCTGGTGGATCCAAACTGCCGACATTTTGGTTAGCAGCTGAGCTCTTAACCACTGCTCCACCAGGGCTCCGCTTAAGGTCTAATCCCTATAATAAATCCATTTTCCTGTATCACTCATCGTAGTTCTGCTCCTCTAATCAAATCCTGATACATTAGGCTTCAGAGAGGTAGTCAGAAAATTCATCATTTGATGAGAGGGGAAAATAAACATGAAAGAAGAGGAAAATACACACCTAGAAATAAAAGGGTAGCATGTTACAAAGTGGATCAGGAACTGTTTCTTTCACTCGGGCTCACTTACTTTTTTTGGAGGGAGATAGTTCGGATCCACATCTTTGGCTATAGAAAGTCGCAATATCCGAGGAGAAGCATCAGGGATTTGAAAAGAATCTCTTACACCATCACTGACGGGCCTGTATGCAAGTGGAAAAACAAAATATAACCATTGGATGGAAGAAAAATAGCCACACTTTTCATTGCTATAATCAACTTCCAATCAATAATATTTATTGTTTCTATCTTAGGAGCATCTTTTCTTATAATCACTACTGCTCTTACCATCAGATTGGTGTTTTTCAAAATTTTTTTTTACCATGATCCACAGTAAGAAAGAAGTACATTTTATGTTGTGATATAGTATATGTGTACATGTATGTGTGTGTGTGTCTGAAACAAAATTATCATGAAACAATACCTATCCTATTCAATGTATTCAGATTTTTAAAAATTTAATTTGATTTCATTAAAAAAATTGATTGCACCCGATCCAAATACCAGCAACATTCTTCAAAGAGATGGAAAAACTAATCATTAACTTTATATGGAAAGGGAAGAAGCCCCAAATAAGTAAAGCA